ATCAACTTGACTGCCAGAAATTTACACCAGGGCCATAAATGTCAGTATTTTGAACTTCAGCTGGGACTACAACTTGATTCCAGGGATTACAATGGGTGACGGGTGCCACAGTCATCTCGCGTTTCTTTCCGATACTAACTACTTATCTGAAATATCTTACCCGGAGGGTGATCAAGGGGATAAGGAGTACTGCTTAAGCTGTGTGTTTAAAAAAATTAATATTAAATTTAATTAAAATTGAATTTAGAAAATGAACGTTGTGAAATAAAAATGCTTATGACAATACCTCGCTGAGAATTTCTTGGTTTCGCCTCAACAAATTTGGGAGTTCGTTGATTCCAGCACTTAAAGCAGCGATTCCACCTGACGACTTCACCGAGTTCGATTTCTCGCGAATTGATTCAGGAAGCGCTTCGGGACGACAAAAATCATCTATGGCCGCGGGCAAATTCAGTGAAGCAAGCATACTAAAGAAAAGTCAGAAATAAAAAATAGCATAAAATGTATTAACGTAATCAACTGAATGGCTTCTCAAAGAAGCGGTTAAATAATACGAACGTTTGATAAGCAAAAATGAACATGGTTAATGACGCCAAAGTGAGTAACGACCTGCCCTGCCTGGTGTAAAATCTTACACAGCTGCTAGAAAAGTAGATTAAATATGCACTAAAAAACCAGCAGTGAGGAAAGGGTTAAAATTTTTCTAAATCTCAGATGCGTAATAGAACCATCACTCAGATAGAAGCTACCTAGCGGAGTACCTGAACGGCATGCAACTGCTAATCAGGTTTAAGTTATAAATAACAATTATCATTGCGTCACACAGTTCATGACTTTCCTCTTTTGTTTCACTCAGTGCTGATGGCGTTACTACCTTCAGTAACGAAAGGCGTCGGTAATTAACTGCACGTCAGAATGCACTTTTTTCAGGCAGTGGGTGCCCTAACCACGGATAATAGAACTACTCAATCAATCAATTATATACTGACTTCCTGACACATGGTTAACCATGCAACGCAAGTGCCATAATATCATGAAGCTGTTAAGTCCTTAAATAGTGGCCTAGATCTAGAAGCAACTGAACTGTGAAAATGGTATGCTCTGCGGTATAAAATGACAAAACCGGTACCTGCGTAAACAGTCTTCTAAGTCTGTACTCTGCTTTTTTATTTATGCCCTTGTAATGCAAAACTGGTGTCTCACTCAAATCAAGCCACACAGATGCATAGATGAGGTGGCAGTTAAAAACGAATCTGAGGATAAAAAAGAAATTCCGCGTCATACTCAGAAAATACAGCAAAAAAACACTAAAGATAGAAACCCTATGTTAGGAAAATAATAGTAAAACGCTTTTATTCAAGCGAGCAACGGAAAACCTTTTGGTTGCAAAGAAATCAGAGAATTCAGATCAAGAGACCAGAGGAGTGCAGCTTAATCGGTTTGCAGCGATTATGAAAGAGCTTAACGGTACTGGAAGCGCCATAACGTATCTTCAAGTTTGTTTATGACTTTACACTCATATCTGATTATGAGTGTAACATACTGATAAAGGAATTGCGAATACAGCTGACAAAATAAAGTTCAGTCAGAAAACTGCTGAGGTGACGAAGTTCAGCAGGGTTTGAAACACAACAGTCACATATATCCTTTAACACAGCGGGAGAAACGATAGTTTCTATGTTTGGAACATGTAGATGGGATGCTAAAGCAGAAAGGGAGCTATCAATCGAACTCTCTAGTGAAATTACACGTGCGGCTGAAAAAGAATAAATCATAGGACAGATCAAGTTCAATATCATAACTACTGAGACTTCGAATTCGATTCGTGAAGTATAACTCGCTCAACAAACGGTTTGAGGAAAAGTCATAACAGGCTGTTACTTCTGGAACGAATGACAGGCCAAAAAATGAATGAAGAAATAACTGAATGAATGGATAAACAAATGAATCAGTTAATCAATTGGAGCACAGCCTAGAGACAAATTTTGAAAAATATATTTCGATATGTGACCCATTACGGACTGGGCTAATTTTTAGATCAAAACAAAATACGCCAAACACAGATATATGAAGTTTAGCGCTACTAATCAGTGCACTGGCAAAACATTCGATCTCAGCTATTTGGGTCACCGGTTAATCGGGCAGCCGCTTGTTTGCGGCAAATCTTCAAGAAAAAAACCTATTTTAGAAAATAGTCAAGGCTTTTGTCGCTTTCGGGACAAAATGCCGTTTAATTGAAACAAAATAATGTGAGCGACTGCTTTCTCTACCTTTGATCCCCTGCTTTCTATTTTCCCGTTAATTAACCCTTAGCTCTTTTAGATGACGTCTAAAAATGCCTCGTCAGCTCATCGGAAGCTTGGATTGAGTATTCGTTGCGTATTCTGCCTCTTCTTTCCCTTTCGTTTTGTTCATCCAGCTTTTCTATGTAAGGTATGTGAATGACTCATCATTAAAAATGTCTTGCCGAATTTGAATCATACGGCGCATTGCTTACTCAGAACGTACAGTTTCTCACTAATGTCAGCTATGTGCATGTGCATCATTTTTCGTACTAAGGCAACGTTGAATCAGAAAATTTAAACTTTGTCAGCGCTCCAATTTTTGATAATTTCGCTCTATTTTAGAAAATTTTGGATCCTTACCAAAATGCCACATAAAGACTTGTCACTAGACGAAAAAATTTGTCTTAATAGACCATATCAGACGTTATTCGCACAATACCAGTCATCGCTGTCCGGCAGAGATAACTGGAGTTACGGAGTTCCAAAATCTGCGATTACACGCCTGATACAAGACGAATGGGATAGACGAATGAAAACAGACAATATCCCAAAAAGGAAAACGTGAAGGGAAGAATCCTGACGTTGACGACGCTTTAAATCAGTGGCTCTCTATTGTAACTAGAAGATAAGTGCATCATTGGTCCAATGTTAAAAATGGAGTCAGCGGGAGCTAGATACGATTGAAGGCAATGATTTTAAAGCAATGGTCAGTTGTCCCGATGGAAATGCAGGCATTAGATAAAATTCAAGAAAGCACACTGCAAAAAAGACAGTGTTGGTGTGAAGCAGAATGGAAATGATTATTTCAAAATGGAATTGAAATGATTAGTGAATTATTTCAAAAATTTAGCGAATATGATATCTACAGTGCTGACGAAACAGGCCTATTCTAAGAAAACTCTATAAAAAGAACCTATTGGTTATTGGGAAAGCTGCTAAGCCTCTAGGCTTTAAGGGACTAAGAATGGACAGTCTACCGATCGAGTACTATGCTGATAAGAATACATGGATGACAACCGAAAGTTTTTTTTCTAAAAAAATGGTTTATGAGGTGGAATGTGAAGCCACAGCTACAAACAAGAAAGATTCGTCTGATTGATGACAATTATGCGGCACAACTTCAGTGTTCAGAGTGTTTGAAAACCATCTAGCTGTGATTTCTGCCTGCTAACACAACACCTGTAATGCAAACAATGGATATGTGAACCATAAAATTTTTGAAGTTGTCGTTCCATGGAAAGTATGTGAACCACGTTCTAGATGCGACTGAAGAAAATTTAATTTATCTTCCACAGCAAAGGAAGTGAGTTCAAAGGTTAACCTTCTTCAGACGATAGCTGGACAATTCGCTGCCGATAGCTGGCGAGGAATAGGCAGTAAGACGATTCAGAACGGTTTTTTTACTGTGATTTTGATCATTCCAACTTGGAGGTACTTGAAATAATCAAAAGTGAATATGAAGCCATTTCTGAAGTGTAAAGGGTTAGAAACTACGAAGAATTTAAAACATCGACAATT